TTCATGACCTTCACCTGTGATCACGTGCAAAAAATATGACGCGAAACGTTTTCGTGATCAGTTCACCCGTTGTCACAAGTGGAATATATTTTTCACGCGTGCTCACACACCATTTATCAGCTTGTGCTGCACAAACACATGCCAAACTCTCATAAATTGATACAATTAACGGATGGTTTTCTTCAAGTTCTCTGAGTAAAATAAAATAGTATTGTTTTGCCTTTTCGTATTCACCCATCTCACATAAAATAGATCCAAAAATTGCAAATGAATGTTCAGTTGTCCGAAATTGACCAATTCCGCTTTTGAAATGATCAATCAAACATTTAACTTCCTTATTGTCTTCTTCACATAATGTCAATTTTACATACCAGAGAGTTGACGTATGTCGTTCAACACAGTCAATTCGGAAAATTGTTCCTACTGAAAATAAAACTTCATTTTCTGTTTCCAAATGGCTTAGTTTTGATATATTTGCAAACGGTGTTGTTACAACATTAAGATTAATTTCTATTTCCATGAATATTGATTCAAAATAAGGACGTCCATAACCGTCTCCTGCAAAGTCTACCGCAGTTGACGACGATGTTGTTGTTGATAGAAATGTCATTACAGAAATAAGTCCACCTATATTATCTTGAAGTTTTTTCAGTTCGGCAATAGATAGTTGTTGTCCTCGGTAAACAGAGAAATTCTTTTCGTTTGATCTTTTCAATGTTTTAACATAGTCCGAGTGTAGTTGAGATAATTGATTGAACAGATCTGTGATAAAAAAACGAAAAGGGCAATGTATTTAGGATGACCGAAGGAAGAATGGAGGTGTATCCAATACCAACCATTATCGGATATGTGCGGGTGAAGTAGGGCAAAATGTTCGGTAGCTCATTTTGGGCCGCGAGGTTGTTAACATTATTGAAGTTCAAGCTAACTCTTGTGCTGATAAAAATATCTGCTGGTTTTACAAAAAAGATACAGATTACAAACAAAAAGAGAAAAATAAAAACATTCAAACTACTATGTGCTCTACTAAACTGAAGTGCAATATGACTGAATGGTGTGCGTCAAAGTCTTATTCAGGTCGAAGAAAACGGTGAGCGACCACAAACATTTTTGTACAAATAATTCTCTGATTATTCAAGATTCAAATACTCTCAGTACATTAAAACATAACGAAGCATAAGCAAAGAAGTCATATTCAGATCTTCGGAACATTTTAATTCATAGAAGATTACTGTTGAAAAAAAACTAATAGTGCCGTCCTGTGAGCATAAAGGGTGTTTCATAAGTTTCGACCCCTCTCTGTAAACTGAGGTTATTTATATGAAACATACATAATAAAATTCAGCTGCTTTTTGCAAAAGATTCACCATTTAATTCTCTACAAAATG